ACAGACCTACTCAGAGCGTGGGGTCTAAGCCCGGGCTGTGCTTTCACCAGAGCCCCTGATGGTGGGGATGGACTTGAAACAGTCCCGGGCCAGGTCACGACCTCCGAGCAGGCCCGCCAGTGGCTGAGGAGACCCTTGGGGACAGGTACCGGGAGAGCCAGATATGAAGAGGATGGCGGCCCCAGCAGGGTAGTAACGGATCGTGGGCCCGTGAGGGTAAGCGGGGTACAGAATCGGTAGGCGAGAGTAGTCGGGTCACACGCAGGGTCAGCAGGGAAGTCAATCCGTAGAATGGTCAGGGCAATCCGGGTCAAACGCAGGAGCAGGCAGAATAGTCAGGACAATCCGGGTCAAACGCAGGAGCAGGCAGAGTAGTCAGGGTCAATCAGGGTCACAAGATAGGTGCAGGAACTCAGGATCACAGAAGACCTTGCGGCAATCTGTGACAGTGCAGGGCATCTTTAAATAGTGCGCCCTGCACTGTCATTGGCCGGCTAGGACGCGCCCCCGGCTGTCATTGGACGCCTGAGGCGCGCCCGCGGCTCCTACTGCGCATGCGCGGCGTCCTGTCAGCCGCGGCTCGCCGGGACCTAGTGCCTGTGTCCCGGCGCGATCCGCCGCCACAGCGCATGCGCGAGGGACGGAGCCGCGATCGCGGACCCTGGAGCCGTGGTCCCTGACACCTAAAGACTGAAACATGTTGGCTGTCTATTTGGCAGTATCTTACTGTTCTTCAATAAAGGATATCCATTCATGCTAATTTATCAGAGTGCTGGCTTTTTTCTTTGTTCCAGCCTTTTAACCTGCGCTTTTGGCTCTCGGAGCTTTGGATTCCAGTGGAGGTTATAGCTCTGTCTCACTTGTCTTAATATTAGTGAGTAGTTGTTTGCCCTCCACTTTCCTTTTTTTGTTACAGCTTCCACCGTTCAGATGTTCTTTAAATTAAATGTGGCCTTATGCTGACCATTTCTTGGAATTAAATAAGTACAGTGGGGAAAATAATTATTTGATCCCCTGCAGATTTTGTAAGTTTGCCCACTTAAAAAGAAATGAAGGGTCTAAAATTTTTATTACAAGTGTATTTTAAATGATAGAGACAGAATATCAACCAAAAATCCTGAAAAAACACGAGACAAATGTTATAAATTGAGTTGCAGTTCTGTGAGTAAAATAAGTATTTGATCCTCAAGCAAAACATGACTTAGTACTTGGTGGAGAAACCCTTGTTTACACACATTTCAGGAGGGATTTTGGTCCACTCTTCTTTACAGATCTTCTCTAAATCCTTAAGGTTTCTTGGCTGTTGCTTGGCAACTCAAAGTTTCAGCTCCCCCTATACATTTTCTATAGGATTAAGGTCTGACTATAAACAAGAACCCAGCGTCAAAATCTGTCATACACCAAAAGGTCCCTTTTCACAGTCACGTAAAATATTCATACTATAAATTCTTCAATTCTCCAAAGTTTCTCACCATAATTTTTCAAGTGTCCAATTCATGTGCAGCAAAATTTTGTATACTCACTTAAAAAGTGTCAACTCCTCATGCAAAAAAATATAAAATGCATATAGTGCATTATCTTTTTAAATATAATAAATAAAATATATATTACACTCACATAAAAGTGCTAATATGGTGCCGATTCTCCACCATGTGACATCAATCTAAATCCATAATTCCTACTCTTACTCTCCAATCAAAAATCCTCGCTTTATTAAAGGGGGGTGAATCTTGTAAATCACTTCATTTTCATTCTTCTGTCATAATCAAATGCCCCCCAAACAAGATATCATATAGTGTAGCATTTTCAATTCAACGGAAATCAATTAGTACCCATGTGCCCGCACTCCTGTAATCTCTGTGATCACAACCAGTGCTCAATCCACCTTAGGTGACCCACCACCTCACGGTTCGTGCACCTTACTAAATTCTCCTAGGTCTGAAGCATGGATTGTCATAGTCAACTGCTACATCTGAAAGATCTCTTTTGGAGAGCACTGGTTGGTGACTGTCAAAATGGACCTTTTGGTGTATGACGGATTTGGACACTGGGTTCTTGTTTATAATCATAGCTTCCCAGGGGGGGGAAGTAATATCCTGGCGCCTGGAAATTTTACTTATTTTGTATAATTTTGTAGTTTGGGTTCTGTGCAGTTTGTGGATATTTGGGGTGACCGTGAGGTTGACGGTGACGTGGGTTTACACTGGGTGTGGATTTTATTACACAAGGTCTGGAGACTGGCTAGGCCACTCCATGACCTTAATGTGCTTGTTCTTGTGCCACTCGTTTGTTGCCTTGGTGGTGTGTTTTTTGGGTCATTGTCATGATGAAAGACCCACCCATGACCCATTTTCAGTGTTCTGGCTGAGGGAAGAATGTTCTTATCCAAGATTTTTCAATACATGGCCCTGTTCATTTGTCCCTCAATGCGGCAAGGTTGGCATGTACCTTTAGCAGAGAAACGGCCCCAAAGCATAATGTTTCCACCTCCATGCTTGACTGTAGGGATGGTGTCCTTAGGTTCATAGTGAGCATTTTCAATCCTTCAAACATGGCAAGTCAAGTTAATGTCAAAGAGCTTAATTATGGTCTCATCTGACCACAGCACTTTCTCCCAATCCTTCTCTGAATCATTTAGATGTTCAATGGCAAACTTCATATGGGCCTGTAAGTGTGCCTTCTTGAGGAGAGGGAGCTTACGGCACTGCAGGATTTTAGTCCATGGCGATGTATTGTGTTACCAATGGTTTGTTTGGTGATTATTCACAAGCTCCTCCTATGTAGTTCTGGGCTGATCCCTCACTTTTCTCACGATCATCCTTACCTCATGAGACAAAATCTTGCATGGAGCTCAAGACCGAGGGCGATTTGATGGTTATTTTGTATTTCTGCCATTTGCGAATAATGGCTCCAACAGTTGACTCCTTCTCACCAAGCTTCTTGCTGATGATCTTGTAGCCCATTCCAGCCTGTGCAGGTCTACAATCTTGTCCCTGTTGTCCTTTGACAGCTCTTTGGTCATTTGCCCATGTTGATGAGGTTTAAAATGGAATAAAGAGATTCTGTGGACAGGTGCCTTTTATACGCATAACGAGATTTCGTTAGGAGTACCTTCTTAAACTGACAGGACTAATCTGTGTACTACTTGAGCACATAGCCAGTCTGTGGGAGCCAGAATTATTTTTGGTTGGTTGGAATCAACTACTTATATTACTCGCTGAACTGCAACTCAATTTGTATCATGTATTTTTTCTGGATTTTTTGTTTGATTTTCTGTCTCTATCATTTAAAATATGCCTATGATAAAAAAATATAGATCCTTCATTTGTTTGTAAGTAGGCAAACTTACCAAATCTGCAGGGGATGAAATATTTATTTTCCCCACTGTAGATCTATTGCAGAGCCATACATATTTTCTCTACTCATTCTGTTCTACACCATTTGTTTCCACATTTTCATGGAATTCCGAAGTATGTGTTATCCTTATAATACCATGGAATAATAAAGGCTCTTTGCAAGGTATGGAAAAGCAGGTCATTGTTATTTAAAAATGTGGCCTGAGGACACAAAACAATTGGCATTGCAGTATTTACATAGGGCAGGATTGTGATAAGTTAATAATAAAGGAAGATGTAAGTGAATGTACACATGACTTAAAGTCTCTTTATGAAGTATTTTCAGTTTTGAAGAAACTGACAAAGCCCATGCCTGCATGATCAAAGTGTATCACAAAAATAGCTTTCTTCTGAACCAGGATGAAATTGAATGTGGTGATAAAATAAAAATGATGAATGCCTGCAGAGAGGGATATGCATGATAAATCATAAGCACTTGTGCGCTACATACAGTTTTGCTCCTCTAGGCCCCTCAGATGGTGCCACCTGGCTATGGTATTTAATGTTATGCTCATTGGTTTATGTATGTTACAGTCATAGAGTTTTGGCAGGTATGCTCACTTATTTTAAACATTAAAGTGTATGTAAACCCTAACAATGACTCTTTCAAATTTGCGCTCTATTATACCATTCAAAGAATTTGGTTATATCGGTTTGATCAGTGCACAAAAACCTGCTGATCATGTCAGAAATGCAGAGCTGTCCCGTGTCTTCAGCACACTACATGTATTATCGTAAAGAAACTATTTAGCACTTCTAATTCTTATCATGGACTAGAGAATGATTAGCCTTTATATTGCAGAGATGAGGAGAGTGAAAGGTTTGAGTAGTTCTGCATAAGATGCAGGGCAGGGCTGGCACTGCTCATTCCATAGAAGTGCTGTGTTTTGTCAACCCACAACAGGGCTCAAACTCCATCTTTTTCAAAATATTACGTTACACTCATATTTAGGACGTAACCTGTAACATGTTGCTAAGCAGCATTCTAGAAACACCCCCTTCCCCTCCCATTCCCTTGACAGCATGCTGGGTTTCCTCTTACCCTCAGCAAATTTGACTTTTGAAATCAGTGCAGCTATGCACGGCTCTGCCTGCACAGTTCCCTCATTCATTCACAGAGATCTTTGAATGATGAACTACAACTCCTATCTGCCAATGATCATCAGTGCTATAAGCAGATGGCAGATGGACTTGTAATTCTCAATGGCATACAAGTCAGTCATCACTGTACTTGTAATCCATTGAAACTTCCTCCAGCTGAAAGCCTGTACAGAGGCATGGGCAGAGAGCTAAAGGAAGAGTCTGCAGGACCTTGACATTGCACCTGCCTTCCACTCAGCGCAGGTCCAATGCTTTGCAAGCTCCTGTGAAAAAAAAAAAAATAAATGCACATTTTTTCCTGCAACAATGTGTGCATTTTTAATTTTTTTAAGGTGAACTTGGCCTTTAAGAACTAATTGAACTTCTAGCAGATCAATTGGCATTTTCCTGAAGCTGTAGGGTCTTTGAGGGGATAAAATGCTGGGAAATGTGCATATAGTGCAGAAATATACTTCTGATGTTTTTGTTTTTTGCCTTGACATACACTTTTTGTATACTTTGCAGTTGTTTCACGGGCATTTTGACACTACTGTTGGACCTAAAGTGCAGAGTGAAAGTTACAGAAAAATTGCTGATCATATTGGATGTTCAACAGAAAGTATCCTTTTTTTAACTGATATTACTAAAGGTAAGCATATTTACACCTGCATGAGCATAATGCCTCTTCTATATCATACGGTGCAAGAACATTTAGCAGTACCAGAGAACAAAAAAAGTCTATTTTCCAGCCTGCTCTAGAAGAAAAAGTTTATCTGATACCTAAACTTTTTTTCGTTTTGGATAGGGGAGGGTAAGGAATGGTTAAAACATCTGCCTGTTTATTTTGCCACCTTTGTTCCATTCGGGAGCTTTACCTTCTCTTCCTATCCTGTAGACACAAAAAGAAGTGAGATAAAATCACTCCAAATTGATGGGAATGCTTTCATGAACAGCTATCCCCAGAACAAATCAATACTTTACACAGAACCAAGTCAACTGTACAGTCACGTTTGTCACATGTTCAGGGTGAACATGCTCTCATCTGTGAAAAGCACAGGGCGCCAGTGGTGGACCTGCCAATTCTGGTGTCCAATGGCAAATGCTAATCGAGCTATATGGTGCCAGGCATTGAGCACAGGGCCCACTAGATTACGTCGGGCCCTCAGACCACCCTCAGGAAGTCTGTTTCTGATTGGTTAGAGACAGTCACACCAGTGGCCTGCTGGAGGTCATTTTGTATAGCTTTGGCAGTGCTCATCCTGTTCCTTCTTGCACAAAAGAGCATATACCGGTCCTGCTGAAGGGTTAAGGACCTTCTACGGCCTTGTCCAGCTCTCCTAGAGTAACTGCGTGTCTTCTGGAATCTCCTCTATGCTCTTGAGACTGTGCTGGCAGACACCACACACCTTCTGGCAATGGCATGTACTGACGTGCCATCCTGGAGGAGTTGGACTTCCTGTGCAACCTCTGTAGGGTCCAGGTATCCCCTCATGCTACCAGTAGTGACACTGACCCTAGCCAAAACTAGTGAAAATATTCAGAAAAGATGAGTAGGGAAAAAAATGTCAGTGGCCTCAAACTGTAAAACCATTCCTGTTTTGGGGTTCATCTCATTGTTGCCCATCTAGTGCACCATTTTTTTTTTTTTTTAAACTATTTTTATTGCATTTTTTACACTGCGTACAAAATATCTTGACATACAAAACTGTAAACCATTTGCAGTTGTTGTTAATGTCATTAACACCAAAGCAGCTGAAACTGTTTAACAACCCCCTCTGCTACTTAACTGACCAGATCAATATCCCAGGAGTTTATTTGACTTGATGCTATACTCTGATTAAAAAGTGTTCCTTTAGTTTTTTTGAGTAGTGTTTGTATATGTGTGTGTGTGTGTGCGGAGGAGTCTGCTATGGATGACTGGCAAAACCACCAGGGGGAGTACTTCCTTACGGTTTTTTTTGCCTGTACCTGCCTATAATACCTATTTTTGGCCACTTGAGGGAGTCTGTTGCAGTATAGACCACGTGGACTCAGGAGTACATGTTATCCTTGTTTTTCAGTGGACTGCATGGGAGTGTGTTGCTTCACTTTAAGCAGGTCTATTTTGAATTCCGTGTTTTGATTAAATTCTTACACAGTTCTTGTAATGCTAGTGGTGGTAATGTCATCCAGAAAGCGGTGTAGGGGAGGCACAGCAGGAAGGGGTGCAAATGCACCACTGCTGGGTCCTGTGGAGCCTAGTCGAAGTTCCGCTGTGTTATCTTCTCTGGAAAGACCAGATGCAACGGGTCAATATGAGCCACTGCATTTGTCCGGCATTGTGGCTACTACCTGTGCATCTTCTTCAGTATATGTAACTAAAGAGAATCTTGCATCAGCCTTAGCAGGCTTAGAAGACAAGATTGTTGGGATGGTTGCATCGGCTGCGCAAGGGGGTAAAGCACAGGAAAGATCCCCATCTTTGGACCCACTAGTCCTTGAACAAGAGTGGGTGGAACCTGAGGATGAAGATGAGGTAGCTAATCTTGAAGAGGGTCAGGCAATTTATTCTCTGTCCGAGGAGTCACAGCCTGATGAGAAGCAGGGGGTTTCTGCTTCTCAATCACAGAGTTAAGACCCTCTCTGATCTGGTCCGGTCAGGTTTCAAGTTGCCCCCATCATATGAGGTCTCTTATTCCTCTTTGGGCTCATTAAAATCTCAACACCTCGAGGTATTCAGGCGTTTCCGGTGCACCCGAAGTTATGTATGCTGACTGGGAGCACCCAAATTCAGTTTTTGTTCCGCAAAAAAGATTCTCCCTTCTGTATCCTATGGAGGAGAAGTTTGTTAGAAAGTGGGGCATGCCGGGGGTGGACACAGCTGTATCTTCCATGAATAAACATTTAACTTGCCCTGTGGATAAAGCCCAGATGTTTAAGGGTCTGGCGGATAAAAAATTAGAATTGCTGCTCAAGACTTCTATTTCCTTGGCAGGGGCTGACGCACAAGCAGAGATTGCTGCTATCGTTATCTGTCAGAGTCTGAATGACCATATTAAACGGGTGGTTAGAAGACCATCTTTTTTGGAGGAGGATACAGCTATGGATTTGGAAGGTTTACCACAAGCCTTGTTTTTTGCAGTTGATCTTCTTCAGGATTCGATTTAGCAGATCTCTCGCATGGCCCTTCTGTCGGTACACATGCGCAGGGTCTTGTGATTAAAGTGTTGGGCAGCGGAACTACCGTGCAAAAGATTGTTGGCGGGTTTTACCTTTCATGGAGAACGTTTGTTTGGGGAGAAACTTAGACAAGTATATCCAGAAGATCTCAGGGGGAAAAAGTATGCTTTTACCCTTAAGGAAAAAGCCCAAATGCCTGACCTTTAAAGGGCCAGGTGCTGTGGTGGTTTGTGCTTCTTCCGGTAGGCAAGCATTTTGCCGTACACAGGGCTCTGTGTCTAAGGGAAAATTTCAGGGCCAGAAGAAAACCTGTGCAGAAGCCCTCCAGGTCAGATTCTAAGTCCGCTTCATTATGAAGGGGTGCCCCTACTCGTGAGGCTGGGGTGAACACTTTCGGTTTTTTTGGAGATCTGGGAAGAGCTGATCCAGGACAAGTGGGTCACTGCTACAGTTGCTCAGGGGTAGAAACTGGAGTTTCAGGGAATTCCTCCTCCCTGTTTCTTAAGGTCCAATGTATCCACGAATCCATTGAGAAGGAAATCCTTTGTTTCCGGCACTCAACTGTCTGTTGTCCCAGGGCGTGATTGTGGAGGTTCCAGCTGACAAAAGGTTCCAGGGATTTTATTCAAACCTATTCAGTTCCAAAACCAAATGGGGATGTAAGGCCTATTCTATACTTAAAGGGGCTGAAATGGTTCCTAAAAATGTGTTAATTTTGGATGGAGTCAGTCTGGTCAGTAGTTGCATCTTTAAAAGATACTTTCTAGTGTCGTATACCTGCATGTGCCAATATTTCCAGCTTATCAAAAGTTTCTGCGGTTTGCGATAGAAACTCGACATTTTCAGTTGGTGGCACTACCTTTAGGGCTAGCCACGGCTCCTTAAGTGTTTACAAAAGAGTCAGGCTCCAGTTCTGGGGCTGCTCAGAATGCAGGGAGTATCAATTTTGGGCTATCTTGATGATCTACTGCTCAGGGGTCAGTCAGGTCCAAGCCGGAGAAAAAATGTGATCCTTGCGATTCATACTCTGGAGCACTTGGGCTTCAACTTCGAGAAGTCAGCCATGGAGCGAGTACAGAGTCTGGAGTATTTGGGGTTGGTCCTAGACACTGTCTAGGCAAAGGTGTTTCTGCCTCTAGGAAAGGACCGTGCCCTGAGAGATCAGGTTCGGAGTTTGAGGAGCAGGAAGTATCCTTCCATTCGTCTCTGCATGAGGTTAATGGGGAAGATGGTATCCTCATTTGAGGCAGTGTACTATGCGCAGTTCCACTCAAGGCCTTTGCAGAGGAGTATTCTGTCTGCATTGAACAGAAAGATTGCAGCACTGGATTACTGCATGTCTTTATCCCCTCGGGTACTGCAAAGCTTGAATTGGTGGTTGGAAGCTTGGAATTTGGAAAAGGGAAGATCTTTCCCATCAGTGATTTGGAATCTGGTAACAACCAATGCCAGCCTCTGGGGTTGGGGGGCTGTTCTAGAAGGGAACCACTGTCCAGGGGATGTGGTCACCCCAGGAAAAAATCCTTCCTATCAACATCCTGGAGCTTCGGGCGGTGCGGCTTGCCCTGAGATATTGGAGGACCAGGCTTCATGGTTGGCCAGTCAGGGTCCAGTCCGACAATGCTACAGCATCAAACAAGGCGGTACCAAGAGCTGGAGGGCTCAGGAGGGAGGTAGATCACATTCTTTGATAACTTGCTCTTGCCACGAAACGCGTTAGGGATAAGGATACCTCTCATACCACTTGTTACCTACATAGTCCATGCATCTGACTGTCGGCCATCTTTTTGGATTCTGTGAATCAGCTTCTTTGGATATTACCATGTAAGTGTGCTATCTGTTTTTACCAATCTCTTGAATAAAAATACTACACTATCAAGATTTCTCTCTTTTGGGTCTTATTGCTGAGTCCCTAAGGTGATCTCCTGATATGAAAGCACACCACCCCTGGCGATAGATGATATAAGGCAAATTCGTGTTACTGTAAAGAGGCGCACTCCCCCTGGTGGTAGGAGACGGCAAGAGTGGTGCACAGGTGTTCCTGAGGGCTCTACGCTGATGACCATTTGGCTGTGACCAGGAGTAGGTCATTATACTCCAATGCGCTTTTACTTGCGCTATCTGGTTAGTGCATTTTACAGCTATTCTCCTATCACAGAAGTCACGGATTTGATTGGCACTTGGATGTACTTCTAGATCTAATGACTCTAACATCCCTATCACTATATGCACTTCGATTGGTTGGATGAATCTTTATTACTTACCCGACCACTGTTTACATTAATTTTATGTACGTTAAACCTGGTGCATGTCATACCTCGTATGTTAATTCCCCTTACTATACACTCAAGCGCTGCATTTTTTGCTGTATTTTATAGATCGCATTCTTGCTTGGGTAAAAGGGCATGCTCCAGTTCTGTCAGCAGTATTCATTCCAGGGATAGAGAATTGTCAGGCGGTTGTTTCCGGGGGAATGGACTCTGCATCCCA